TATATACAGAACCCCAATCTGACCATTACCCCAGATATACAGAACCCCCAAGTGACCATTACCCCAGATATATATACAGAACCCCAATCTGACCATTACCCCAGATATATATACAGAACCCCAATCTGACCATTACCCCAGATATATATACAGAACCCCCAATCTGACCATTACCCCAGATATACAGAACCCCCAAGTGACCATTACCCCAGATATATATACAGAACCCCAATCTGACCATTACCCCAGATATATACAGAACCCCCAAGTGATCATTACCCCAGATATATATACAGAACCCCCAAGTGACCATTACCCCAGATATATATACAGAACCCCAATCTGACCATTACCCCAGATATATATACAGAACCCCAATCTGACCATTACCCCAGATATATATACAGAACCCCAATCTGCCATTACCCCAGATATACAGAACCCCAAGTGATCATTACCCCAGATATATATACAGAACCCCAATCTGCCATTACCCCAGATATATATACAGAACCCCAATCTGACCATTACCCCAGATATATATACAGAACCCCAATCTGACCATTACCCCAGATATACAGAACCCCCAATCTGACCATTACCCCAGATATATATACAGAACCCCCAATCTGATCCATTACCCCAGATATATATACAGAACCCCAATCTGACCATTACCATAGATATATATACAGAACCCCAATCTGGCCATTACCCCATATATATACAGAACCCCAATCTGACCATTACCCCAGATATATATACAGAACCCCAATCTGACCATTACCCCAGATATACAGAACCCCAATCTGACCATTACCCCAGATATATATACAGAACCCCAATCTGACCATTACCCCAGATATATATACAGAACCCCAATTCTGACCATTACCCCAGATATATATACAGAACCCCAATCTGACCATTACCCCAGATATACAGAACCCCAATCTGACCATTACCCATATATATATACAGAACCCCAATCTGACCATTACCCCAGATATACAGAACCCCAATCTGACCATTACCCCAGATATATATACAGAACCCCAATCTGACCATTACCCCAGATATACAGAACCCCAATCTGACCATTACCCCAGATATATATACAGAACCCCAATCTGACCATTACCCCAGATATACAGAACCCCAATCTGACCATTACCCCAGATATACAGAACCCCAATCTGACCATTACCCCAGATATACAGAACCCCAATCTGACCATTACCCCAGATATACAGAACCCCAATCTGGCCATTACCCCAGATATACAGAACCCCAATCTGGCCATTACCCCAGATATACAGAACCCCAATCTGACCATTACCCCAGATATACAGAACCCCAATCTGACCATTACCCCCTCATATATATATATACAGAACCCCAATCTGACCATTACCCCAGATATATACAGAACCCCAATCTGACCATTACCCCAGATATACAGAACCCCAATCTGACCATTACCCCAGATATACAGAACCCCAATCTGACCATTACCCCAGATATATATACAGAACCCCAATCTGACCATTACCCCAGATATACAGAACCCCAATCTGATCATTACCCCAGATATACAGAACCCCAATCTGACCATTACCCCAGATATATACAGAACCCTACTCTGGCCATTACCCCATATATATATACAGAACCCTAATCTGACCATTACCCCAGATATATATATACAGAACCCCAATCTACCCTGTCCTCTCTGACCTGCAGATTGGATCATTCTTCTATGAACATTTAATTTCCATTCACCAATGAATCTTCTGCACACCTCACGTCTCCTCTGTCCACACCTCACCGGAACCCTCCAGTGACTACCTACTATGCTGTATTAGGCACAATTCATTGTCATTATTCCCGTACCCTGAGAGCACCTTCAACTTTATCTTTCACCTGCCCCCCATTCTTGGACCCCTTTTCTACAGAACTTTTTCTGCCTGTAGTCCATGACTTAGACCACATATTTCTAATGCCCCCCCTCCCCCCCTTCATTTTCTGTCCACTTTTCAGGAGCTTCAGTTTTCATATTTTATCAGAAGGTTGGTCCATCAACATCTAATCCAGGAAGTCTGTCCCTTAATGTCTACCTCCAGACCACACAGTCTGTCACTCAACTTCTACCTCTAGTCCAGGAGGTTTTTCCTTCCATGTCCACTTCCTGACCACATTGTTTGCCCCTTGACTTGTCCTACTAATCCAGGAGGTCTGTCCCTCAATGTCTACTTGCTGATCAGGTTGTCTGTCCCTCAACATGTATCACTAATCCACAAGGTCTGTCCCACAATGTCCATCACATGACCAGGAAGTTTGTTTCCTCACATTAACCTTTAATCCAGGTGATCTGTCTTTCAAGGTCTACCTCTAAACTAGGTTGTGTGTCCCTTGACATGTAACACAAATCCAGGAGGTCTGCCCCCAATGTCTACCTTCTGACCAGGACGTTACTCTTACAGCATTATCCTCCAATCTAGGTCTGTCTTTAAGTGTCTACCTCCAGACCAGGTCATCTGTCTCTCAACATGTACCACTTATCCAGAAGGTCTCCCCCACAATGTTCACCTCCTGACCAGGACGTTTGTCCTACATTATCCTTTAATCCAGGAGGCCTGGATTTACAGGTCTACCTCCAGTCCAGGTTGTCCGTCCCTCGACATGTACCACTTATCCAGAAGGTCTGCCCCCCAATGTCTACCTTTTGACCAGAAAGTTTCCCTTACAACATTATCTTCTAATCCAGGAGGTCTGTCTACATATATATACTTCAAGATCAATGAATCTGTCTCTCAACATGCAGCACTAATCCAGGAGGTCAGCACCCCACAACGTCTACCACCTGACCAGGATGTTTGTTTTTGGACATTAACCTTTAATCCGGGTGGCCTGTCTTTCAAGGTCTATCTCTAAACTAGGTTGATGGTCCCTTGACATGTACCACTTATCCAGGAGGTCTGTCTACATAAGTCTACCTCCAGTCCAGGTTTTTTGTCCCTCGATATGTACCAATTATCAAGAAGTTCTGCCCCCCAATGTCTACCCCCTGACCAGAAACCAGATTAGCCTCTAATCCAGGACACCTGTCTTTAAATGTCTACCTCTAGACCAGGTTGTTTGTCCCTCGAAACGTAACACAAACCCAGAAGGTCTGTCCCACAATGTCTACCTCCAGACCAGGGAATCTATCCATCGTGATCCATCTCTAATTCAATAAATCTGTCACTCAATGTAGAGTCTTTCCAGAAGCTCCAACCTCCTTGCTGTCCAAGACTCACTTCCCAAATACTGGAGGTCAGCTCATGGATGGGTTAGAGAAGTCAAACTTTCAAGCAAAATATTAGTTCCTCACAGACCTTCTAAATGTTAGACCTAAGAAACCCCCCGGCCCTGGAGACCTGCTAATCAGGGCCTACTATTGTATAGGTGTCCTCAGGTTTAATGTAGAAGACAACCCGAGAGTCAAGTCAAGGTTCCAGCACCTTCTTCCAGCCAAGAGAAGATGTGCGTCAAGTAAATATACCGAATACCATAATCTATCCATTGTGATCCATCTCTAATTCAATAAATCTGTCACTCGGCGTAGCTTCTTTCCAGAAGCTCCAACCTCCTTGATGTCCAAGACCCACTTCCCTAATACTGGAGCTCATGGATGGGTGAGATAGAGAAGTCGTTAAAATTTCAAGGAAAATATCAGTTCCTAACAGACCTTCTAAATGTTAGACCTAAGAAACCCCCCGCCCTGGAGACCTGCTAATCAGGGCCTACTACTGTATAGGTGTCCTCAGGTTTAACGGAGAAGATAACCCGAGAGTCAAGTCAAGGTTTCAGCACCTTCTTCCAACCAAGAGAAGACGTGCGTCAAGTAAATATAGGGAATACCATAATCTATCCATCGTGATCCATCTCTAATTCAATAAATCTGTCACTCAACGTAGCGTCTTTCCAGAAGCTCCAACTTCCTTGCTGTCCAAGACCCACTTCCCTAATACTGAAGGTCAGCTCATGGATGGGTGAGGTAGAGAAGTCATTAAACTTTCAAGGAAAATATCAGTTCCTCACAGATCTTTTAAATGTTAGACCTAAGAAACCCCCGGTCCTGGAGACCTGCTAATCGGGGCCTACTACGGTATAGGTGTCCTCAGGTTTCATGTAGACGATAACCCGAGAGTCAAGTCAAGGTTTCAGCACCTTCTTCCAGCTGAGAGAAGATGTGCGTCAAGTAAATATAGCGAATACCATAATGTATGTAAACACAAAATGCTTCATTGCTCCCCACGTGTTCTCCAGCCGTCGGTCTTATACATATCATACATATATACATATATATAGAGATACAGGAGCCCAGCACACACATCGAACTATCCGTACCATGAAAACCGATGGATTCAGAAATGTAAAGGTGGTGGAGATACGAACACTCTACACATTACATGGTTCAAGTAGGAGACAGCATTGTGCCTTCCGGGAACGCCATCAGCAGGACGTGCCTTCCGGGAACGCCATCGGCAGGACGAGCCTTCCGGGAACGCCATCGGCAGGACGAGCCTTCCGGGAACACCGTCGGCAGGACGTGCCTTCCGGGAACACCGTCGGCAGGACGTGCCTTCCGGGAACGCCATCTGCAGGACGTGCCTTCCGGGAACACCATCGGCAGGACGAGCCTTCCGGGAACACCGTCGGCAGGACGTGCCTTCTTGTACCTTGACGACGGATGTTCCATATTTCTTCTTGTGCCCGGTCAGTTCCATGTATACATCGAATAATGCCTCTAGATAGGGACTGTGTTGCACACTCTGCTCTGCAGGACTGACACGTACAACATTGAGCAGCAAGGACGGGTGATGGAGGGGCACCACAGGGACACGGAGGTATAGTCCAGAATCCTGAGAATCAATAATAAAACTAAATAAAAAAAATGGCTGCCAGAGCCAGGTCACCAGCGGGAGGTCGAGTCGTGTCACGTGAGTCGTCCGGGGTTACAGGGCGGGGCTTGGACTGTCACTAGGGCAGCCATACTGGAGGAGGATATCCGCGCACTCTGTGCTGCCAGCCCGACGGGCGTATGAAAGCGAAGTGAGACTGCGAGCGTCGCAGCACTTCACATCCACACCATACTACAGAGACAAGAAGGAAAGGCGTTAGTAGAAGGATCATCGGCCAGGAAGGCCAAGCCCACATCGATCGTTCCTTCCTCTTACCCAGATGAGGAGCTGTGTGCACACAACGTTGGACATTGCTGCCGAGAGGTGAAGTGCCGAGCGACCATCGCCATCCCCATACGTTTCGTTCACTTCCTCCTTCGTACCGTGAGCGAGCAACGTCACCACCATCCGCAAGTCGTCCTCCACTACTGCGCGCAGGAGCTGCTGCCCCAGGGGGACATCGGAGGCCGGCAGGGGGCACAGGAAGAGCTTCTGCTCATACTTGGCGCGGATCCACCGCTCCTTCTCTCTTCCCTGAGGAGCAACACAACACAAGAACCTAAGAATGGACCATGGAACCAAGCCGGGAAACGGGGGTGCGGCAGAGCCATCAGGAGGGAGGGGCAGAGCCATTACGGGGGTGAGGCAGAACCATCACAGGGTGGGGCAGGTACCTCATTGGGGTGGGGAATGTAACTCACTGGGGTGGGGAAGGTACCTTACTAGGGGAGGGGCAGGTACCTCACTGGGGGAGGACAGAGAACATATGTGCCGTCCTTTCTATCTCTGCATGGACAGACATATGAAAGAGGCGGAGACTTCTGGCACTGGATGGACAGACAGATGAAGGGGGCGGAGACTTCTGACCACTTTCTAGCACTGGATGGACAGACAGATGAAGGGGGCAGAGACTTCTGACCACTTTCTAGCACTGGATGCACAGACATTTGAAGGGGGGCGGGGACTTCTGAACACTTTCTAGCACTGGATGGACAGACATATGAAGGGGGTGGAGACTTCTGACCACTTTCTAGCACTGGATGGAAAGACATATGAAGGGGGCGGAGACTTCTGACCACTTTCTAGCACTGGATGGACAGACATATGAAGGGGGCGGGGACTTCTGAACACTTTCTAGCACTGGATGGACAGACATATGAAGGGGGTGGAGACTTCTGGCAACTTTCTAGCAATGGATGGACAGACATATGAAGGGGGTGGAGACTTCTGGCCACTTTCTAGCACTGGATGGACAGACATATGAAGGGGGCGGAGACTTCTAATCACTTTCTAGCACTGGATAGACAGACATATGAAGGGGGGGGAGACTTCTGGCCACTTTCTAGCACTGGATGGACAGACATATGACGGGGGCGGAGACTTCTTGCCACTTTCTAGCACTGGATGGACAGACATATGAAGGGGGCGGGAACTTCTGACCACTTTCTAGCACTGGATGGACAGACATATGAAGGGGGTGGAGACTTCTGGCCATTTTCTAGCACTGGATAGACAGACAGATGAAGGGGGTGGAGACTTCTGGCTACTTTCTAGCACTGGATGGACAGACATATGAAGGGGGCGGAGACTTCTGGCCACTTTCTAGCACTGGTTGGACAGCGGCTTCTACTAGACTTGTCACCAAGTGGTGGGAATCTGAGGAAGCCTAGGCCCAGCTGGAGAGCAGAGGGAGCAAGGCGGAGTGGGCAGAGTGGAGGGACTGCAGGGATGGGGGTGACTTTCAGGTCAGGAAGTTGGGGGTGTCATGGAAATTTTGTATTGTTGGTTGTCCTTTAAATGTGTCATATATGAGTGTTGTTCATATGTCTCTGGTGTGTATAATTAAAGCTCTGAAGGCTGCAATTGGGCCATGCCATGTACAATGTATGTATTACAGTACCCCCAACACTCCGCACCTTTGACCTTACTACCATCGAGGAAGTCTCCAAGATCCTCTCTGATGCCCGCCTCACCACCTGCCCCCTCAACCCTATCCCCTCAACTCCTACGACCTCCTTCCCCCCCTCCATCCTACGCTCCCTCACCCACATCTTCAATCTCTCCCTCTCCTCCGGCACTTTCCCCTCCCTCTGAAACACGCCCACATCACCCCCATACTTAAAAAGCCCTCCCTGGACCCCAATGACCCGAACAACCTCAGACCCATCTCCCTGCTCCCATTTACATCTAAACTCCTCGAGCGCCTCGTCTACACCCGCCTATGCTCTCACCTCAACGACAACCACCTCCTCGATCCCCTACAGTCCGGCTTCCGTCCCCTACACTCCACCGAAACCGCCCTACACTCCACCGAAACCACCCTACACTCCACCGAAACCTCCCTACACTCCACCGAAACCGCCCTACACTCCACCGAAACCACCTTACTCAAACTCTCCAACAACCTGCTAACTGCCAAAGCTAATGGCCACTACTCAGTGCTCCTACTCCTTGACCTCTCTGCGGCCTTCGACACAGTCCACCACCCCCTCCTCCTCAAAAAACTACACTCCCTCGGCCTCAGAGACTCCGCCCTCTCCTGGCTCTCATCCTACCTATCACAATGCTCTTCCAGCGTTACCTATAATGCTACCACCTCCCCCTCACTCCCCCTCTCTGTTGGGGTCCCTCAAGGCTCTGTCCTCGGGCCCCTTCTCTTCTCCATCTATACCTCCTCCCTTGGCCAAACTCATACACTCTCACGGCTTCAACTACCACCTCTATGCCGACGACACACAAATCTATCTCTCTACCCCCCACCTCACCCCCTCGGTCTCCGCCCAAATCACACACCTACTGAGCGACATATCAGACTGGATGTCGCTCCACTTCCTTAAATTGAACCTCTCCAAAACCGAGTTTCTTGTCTTCCCCCCCCCCATTGACTTCTCCATCACATCCAACAACGCTACCATCAAACCCGCCCCACAGGCCAGAGTACTGGGTGTCATTCTGGACTCCAACCTATCCTTCCAGCCCCAAGTCCAATCACTAACAAACTCGTGCAGACTCCTCCTCCGCAACATGCAGACTTCGCCTCCGCAACATGCAGACTCCGCCTCCGCAACATGCAGACTCCGCCTCCGCAACATGCAGACTCCGCCTCCACAACATGCAGACTCCGCCTCCACAACATGCAGACTCCGCCTCCACAACATGCAGACTCCGCCTCCGCAACATCGCCAAAATCCGCACGTTCCTAAACCCCAGAAACCACTAAACAGCTCATCCACTCCCTCATCATATCACGACTCGACTACTGCAACTCCCTCCTCACTGGCCTGCCTCACCACAGGTTATCCCCGCTTCAGTCCATCCTGAATACGGCTGCCAGACTCATTCACCTTTCCAACCGCTCCATCTCCGCCACCCCCCTCTGCCAATCCCTCCACTGGCCTCCACTCAGTGTCCTCCACCCCCCTCTGCCAATCCCTCCACTGGCCTCCACTCAGTGTCCGCCACCCCCCTCTGCCAACCCCTCCATTGGCCTCCACTCAGTGTCCTCCACCCCCCTCTGCCAATCCCTCCACTGGCCTCCACTCAGTGTCCGCCACCCCCCTCTGCCAACCCTCCATTGGCCTCCACTCAGTGTCCTCCACCCCCCTCTGCAATCCCTCCACTGGCCTCCACTCAGTGTCCTCCACCACCCCCCTCTGCCAATCCCTCTACTGGCCTCCACGCAGTGTCCTCCACCCCCCTCTGCCGATCCCTCCACTGGCCTCCACTCAGTGTCCTCCACCCCCCTCCACTGGCTTCCGATTGCGCAACGGATCAAATTTAAAACCCTAACACTGACGTACAAAGCCGTCCACCATACTGCCCCGAACTACATCTCTGACCTAATATCCAAGTACCACCCAACACGCACACTCCGCTCCTCACAAGACCTCCTTCTCTCTAGTTCCCTGGTCTCCTCCTCCCATGCCCGCCTCCAGGACTTCTCCAGGGTGTCACCCATCCTCTGGAACTCCCTGCCCCAACCCTTCAGATTATCACCTACTCTCCTCTCCTTTAGGCGCACCCTGAAAACCCATCTCTTCAGGGAAGCCTACCCCACCCCCTGCTAATTGCCGACCTCCTCCACTCTTCCTACCACTCCATCCCCCACAGCTATCTCCTCCTGTACCACCATCCCCTCCCTCCTAGATTGTAAGCTCCCAGGATCAGGGCCCTCGATCCCCCCATGTATCACATTGTATTGGTATTGTTCTGTCACATGTTCTGTCCCCCTCTGTAATGTACAGCGCTGAGCCAACTATAAATACTGTATAATAATAATAATGAGAATACTCAGCTCGGTAATGGATGAGATGGCAGATCTGCACGTATAGACCGGCGTGTATACCACCATTCGATGCGAATGCCGCCGGCGGGTAGGCCGCGGGCCTGTATGCACATATCAGCAGCATAGTACCACATGGACTCCGTGCCGCAAGGCGCCAAGCAGTGCGAACTCCGCGTGTAGGCTCATGTATATCTTACAACCCATTACCGACCTGAACTGTATCTGGATGGATGTGTTTTAATAAAGATGGTATCGGCCCATCCAGGTAAAGACTGATGTTTAATCTAGGGCAGTGATGGCGAACCCGTGGCACGCGTGCCACAGCCGGCACGCCGAGCCTTATCTGTGGGCACGCCAGGAGAATCCAGCGGCGCGCTGTCTTCCCGGCTGTAGTGTGCGTGATAGCCGGGTCCCAAGTGCGCATGCACAAGAAGCAGTGCTCTTTGTGAAATGGTAAGGCGGTACCTGGGACACATGACAGATCCCAGAAGCCGCCGGACCAATCACAAAGCGCAGCGCTTCTTGCGCATGCGCACTGGGCATCCGGCTGTCCGACGAGCGCCCACACTACAGAAGCCGGGAAGACAGCGCGCGGCTGGATAAAGGAACAGGTAAGATAAAAAAAAAACTCTGCGGAAGTAAGAGCGGGTACCCCCCCCCCCCCTCCCCAAAGGTCAGCAGTCATCTCTGTACTGTCCGCAGTCTCTGGTCATCCCTGTGCTGTCCGCAGTCTCTGGTCATCCCTGTGCTGTCCGCAGTCTCTGGTCATCTCCTGTACTGTGTCCGCAGTCTCTGGTCATCTCCTGTACTGTGTCCGCAGTCTCTGGTCATCCCTGTACTGTCCGCAGTCTCTGGTCATCCCCTGTACTATGTCCGCAGTCTCTGGTCATCCCCTGTACTGTGTCTGCAGTCTCTGATCATCTCCTGTACTGTGTCCGCAGTCTCTGGTCATCTCCTGTACTGTGTCCGCAGTCTCTGGTCATCTCCTGTACTGTCCACAGTCTCTGGTCATCCCTGTGCTGTCCGCAGTCTCTGGTCATCTCCTGTACTGTCCACAGTCTCTGGTCATCCCTGTGCTGTCCACAGTCTCTGGTCATCTCCTGTACTGTCCGCAGTCTCTGGTCATCTCCTGTACTGTCCGCAGTCTCTGGTCATCTCCTGTACTGTCCACAGTCTCTGGTCATCCCTGTGCTGTCCGCAGTCTCTGGTCATCTCCTGTACTGTGTCCGCAGTCTCTGGTCATCTCCTGTACTGTGTCCGCAGTCTCTGGTCATCTCCTGTACTGTGTCCGCAGTCTCTGGTCATCTCCTGTACTATGTCCGCAGTCTCTGGTCATCCCTGTACTGTGTCCGCAGTCTCTGGTCATCCCTGTACTGTGTCTGCAGTCTCTGGTCATCCTTGTACTGTGTCTGCAGTCTCTGGTCATCCCTGTGCTGTCCGCAGTCTCTGGTCATCTCCTGTACTGTCCACAGTCTCTGGTCATCCCTGTGCTGTCCACAGTCTCTGGTCATCTCCTGTACTGTCCGCAGTCTCTGGTCATCCTGTACTGTCCGCAGTCTCTGGTCATCTCCTGTACTGTCCGCAGTCTCTGGTCATCTCCTGTACTGTCCACAGTCTCTGGTCATCCCTGTGCTGTCCGCCGTCTCTGGTCATCTCCTGTACTGTGTCCGCAGTCTCTGGTCATCTCCCTGTACTGTGTCCGCAGTCTCTGGTCATCTCCTGTACTGTGTCCGCAGTCTCTGGTCATCCCCTGTACTGTGTCTGCAGTCTCTGGTCATCCCTGTACTGTGTCTGCAGTCTCTGGTCATCCCCTGTACTGTGTCTGCAGTCTCTGGTCATCTCCTACTGTCCGCAGTCTCTGGTCATCTCCTGTACTGTCCGCAGTCTCTGGTCATCTCCTGTACTGTCCACAGTCTCTGGTCATCCCTGTGCTGTCCGCAGTCTCTGGTCATCTCCTGTACTGTGTCCGCAGTCTCTGGTCATCTCCTGTACTGTGTCCGCAGTCTCTGGTCATCTCCTGTACTGTGTCCGCAGTCTCTGGTCATCCCTGTGCTGTCCGCAGTCTCTGGTCATCTCCTGTACTGTGTCCGCACTCTCTGGTCATCTCCTGTACTGTGTCCGCAGTCTCTGGTCATCTCCTGTACTGTGTCTGCAGTCTCTGGTCATCTCCTGTACTGTGTCCGCAGTCTCTGGTCATCTCCTGTACTGTGTCCGCAGTCTCTGGTCATCTCTTGTACTGTGTCCGCAGTCTCTGGTCATCCCTGTACTGTGTCCGCAGTCTCTGGTCATCCCTGTACCGTGTCCGCAGTCTCTGGTCATCTCCTGTACTGTGTCCGCAGTCTCTGGTCATCTCCTGTACTGTGTCCGCAGTCTCTGATCATCTCCTGTACTGTGTCCGCAGTCTCTGGTCATCCCTGTACTGTTAATTCGTTTGCACTTCTGTACGAGTTGTTTTTTTCTAAACCAAAAGCTCGATATTCAGGTTTCATTGCAGTGTTGGCACTTTGAAAGAAATAAGTTGGTTTTGGGTTGCAGTTTGGGCACTCGGGGCTCACAAAGGTTCGCCATCACTGGTCTAAGGGATGCTTGTACAGGGAATGGACATACTACTAGGAGCTGATAGGATGGGAAGTTTGCTCTCCACCGAGAGCTCATGGGGGAGGGGAGGACTGGTTCAACTGGCTTCCAGTATAGATAAGAGGAAATGCTACACTCCAAACAGGATGTTCATTCTCATGTATGGACATCCCTATGCATTGTTCTGTGGGAGGGGATTGACCTGACCCTCGTGTGTGGGTGTGTGTGTGTGGGCGTGTATGTGCTTGTAATAAACCGGAGGCTGGGATTGGAGGCAGTCTCTATGTGAATTCCAACAGCAACCTGAGAGTGTCGTGTGATCATTCATGGGTAACGGAGCTCCATTTCCCCACATCTCGAGATAGCTAAACCAGTTGGAGGTGCAGGAATCTTGGGGCTAAGCTGCAGTCGTGGTGAGCGAGATTCGCACAGCTTTATGGGGGATTGCTGCGCATCCAACTGCGAGTACTCACGGTAAGGAAAAATTCGTTCAAAGCGAATTTCCAAGACAGTTGTCATCATTCCATCTTTCGGGACTCACCTGGAGCTCTCCGAGGTTGGCTTGCTGTACCCCTCCGTACAGTGCTCCCACACAGCATTGGCCAGACTATTCCCAATGGCCATCATCACCATAGTAAGCTCAACCGGCCAGTCATCCAAATCGAGAGAGCGCACGCGGGAGAGATGCGTCCCGAGATTGCGGTGAATTCCCGAGCACTCTATACACATCAAAGATCCAAGGTTTAGACTGGCCCAGTCCGGGTCTGAAAAAGGAAAAACAAGAAAGAAGATCAACACCTCAGCCATTGGGCAAACTCTGGTCCAATGACTGGTCACTGGTGTCCTCTCGGGACCTAGAACACAGACGTTTCCCCTATGGGGACGGAGAGTGAAGGCCGGTGGGCAAGTCTCTGGTGTCTACATAGCATACTCAGGGAGGAGTGAAGATAGACATCACACCAGGGACATACATTGGAGAAGGCAATGGAGGGGAGAAGACGTGATGGACGGAGTGGACAGGCGGGTACTCACTGGGAGTGTCACAATCTACACACAAGCTGTTCCCCCTCACACTCCGGATTGACTGAATGGCGAGAGCGTCGCTCTGACTGCCGAGCCGTGTCTGTAATGAGAGCAGAGGGATTGATGGTGGGTGGGGTGAGGGCCAGGAGAAGTGAAGGTCAGTGAGCATTCCACATGGACGGGACATCACCGGGCAGGGAACACGGTTACCACACCTTATTTTTGGTACTCTCACAGCTCTGCAGGCTGGCCAGGATTTGGCTTTCGATGGCCTGGACCCAAAGTTCCCGGTCTTCATACACCGAAGCTTCGAAGTGCCAACTCTGACTGGTCAGTGACACGATCACAAAGCCATACGATTCTTCTGGTTCTGAAGCAGAAAGAGACAGATTACAGCTCAGAACATCGAGGGAACAAGGCTATCCCATCCTCCACCCTGTGCATACCTGTCTCTTGAGGTGATATCCCCCTCCCCCACCCTCAAGGAAGATGGATCCGAACTCTCACAACCTCTAACTCCATTTTCAAAGATGGAACTGAGCCATGACCCCATCAGCAATTAAAAGATGTTCAGAAGGATGATCTTCAGTGTGGACATCTCATCACAAGACTCCAAATTACTCCATACAGACCCCACAGCCAAGCCTGGTACCCAAATGGCAATGTCCTTCTACCTCCGTCCCAGCAGTCATACCCCCATGGCAATGTCCTTCTACCTCCGTCCCAGCAGTCATACCCCCATGTTAATGTCCTTCTGTCTCCATCCCAGTAGTCATACCCCCATGGTAATGTCCTTCTACCTCCGTCCCAGAAGTCACACCCCCAAATGGCAATGTCCTTCTACCTCTGTCCCAGCAGTCATACCCCCATGGTAATGTCCTTCTACCTCCGTCCCAGCAGTCATACCCCCATGGTAATGTCCTTCTACCTCCGTCCCAGCAGTCATACCCCCATGGTAATGTCCCTACCTCCGTCCCAGCAGTCATACCCCCATGGTAATGTCCTTCTACCTCCGTCCCAGCAGTCATACCCCCATGTTAATGTCCTTCTGTCTCCATCCCAGTAGTCATACCCCCATGGAAATGTCCTTCTACCTCCGTCCCAGAAGTCACATCCAAATGGCAATGTCCTTCTACCTCTGTCCCAGCAGTCATACCCCCATGGCAATGTCCTACCTCCGTCCCAGCAGTCATACCCCCATGGTAATATCCTTCTACCTCTGTCCCAGAAGTCATACCCCCATGGTAATATCCTTCTACCTCTGTCCCAGCAGTCATACCCCCATGGTAATGTCCTTCTACCTGTGTCCCAGCAGTCATACCCCCATGGTAATGTCCTTCTACCTCCGTCCCAGAAGTCATACCCAAATGGCAATGTCCTTCTACCTCTGTCCCAGCAGTCATACCCCCATGGTAATGTCCTTCTACCTCCGTCCCAGCAGTCATACCCCCATGGTAATGTCCTTCTACCTCCGTCCCAGCAGTCATACCCCCATGGTAATGTCCTTCTACCTCCGTCCCAGCAGTCATACCCCCATGGTAATGTCCTTCTACCTCCATCCCAGCAGTCATACCCCCATGGCAATGTCCTTCTACCTCTGTCCCAGCAGTCATACCCCCATGGCAATGTCCTTCTACCTTCGTCCCAGCAGTCATACCCCCATGGTAATGTCCTTCTACCTCCATCCCAGCAGTCATACCCCCATGGAATGTCCTTCTACCTCCGTCCCAGCAGTCATACCCCCATGGTAATGTCCTTCTGTCTCCGTCCCAGCAGTCATACCCCCATGGCAATGTCCTACCTCCGTCCCAGCAGTCATACCCCCATGGTAATGTCCTTCTACCTCTGTCCCAGCAGTCATACCCCCATGGTAATGTCCTTCTACCTCTGTCCCAGCAGTCATACCCCCATGGTAATGTCCTTCTACCTGTGTCCCAGCAGTCATACCCCCATGGTAATGTCCTTCTACCTCCGTCCCAGCAGTCATACCCAAATGGCAATGTCCTTCTACCTCCGTCCCAGCAGTCATACCCCCATGGTAATGTCCTTCTACCTCCGTCCCAGCAGTCATACCCCCATGGTAATGTCCTTCTACCTCCGTCCCAGCAGTCATACCCCCATGGTAATGTCCTACCTCCGTCCCAGCAGTCATACCCCCATGGTAATGTCCTTCTACCTCCGTCCCAGCAGTCATACCCCCATGGTAATGTCCTTCTACCTCCGTCCAGCAGTCATACCCCCATCCCAGCAGTCATACCCCCATGGTAATGTCCTTCTACCTCCGTCCCAGCAGTCATACCCCCATGGCAATGTCCTTCTACCTCGTCCCAGCAGTCATACCCCCATGGTAATGTCCTTCTACCTCCCGTCCCAGCAGTCATACCCCCATGGTAATGTCCTTCTACCTCCGTCCCAGCAGTCATACCCCCATGGCAATGTCCTTCTGTCTCCGTCCCAGCAGTCATACCCCCATGGCAATGTCCCTTCCTACCTCCGTCCCAGCAGTCATACCCCCATGGTAATGTCCTTCTACCTCTGTCCCAGCAGTCATACCCCCATGGTAATGTCCTTCTACCTCCGTCCCAGCAGTCATACCCCCATGGTAATGTCCTTCTACCTCCGTCCCAGCAGTCATACCCCCATGGTAAATGTCCTTCTACCTCCGTCCCAGCAGTCATACCCCCATGGTAAATGTCCCTACCTCCGTCCCAGCAGTCATACCCCCATGGTAATGTCCTTTCTACCTCCGTCCCAGCAGTCATACCCCCATGGTAATGTCCTTCTACCTCCGTCCCAGCAGTCATACCCCCATGGCAATGTCCTTCTACCTCCGTCCCAGCAGTCATACCCCCATGGCAATGTCCTTCTACCTCGTCCCAGCAGTCATACCCCCATGGTAATGTCCTTCTACCTCCATCCCAGCAGTCATACCCCCATGGTAATGTCCTTCTACCTCCGTCCCAGCAGTCATACCCCCATGGTAATGTCCTTCTCTACCTCCGTCCCAGCAGTCATACCCCCATGGCAATGTCCTTCTACCTCCGTCCCAGCAGTCATACCCCCATGGTAATGTCCTTCTACCTCCCTGTCCCAGCAGTCATACCCCCATGGTAATGTCCCTTCTACCTCCGTCCCAGCAGTCATACCCCCATGGCAATGTCCTTCTACCTCCGTCCCAGCAGTCATACCCCCATGGCAATGTCCTTCTACCTCCGTCCAGCAGTACCCCCATGGTAACCCCCATGGTCAACCCCCATGGTCCTTCTACCTCCGTCCCAGCAGTCATACCCCCATGGTAATGTCCTTCTACCTCCGTCCCAGCAGTCATACCCCCATGGCAATGTCCTTCTACCTCCGTCCCAGCAGTCATACCCCCATGGTAATGTCCTTCTACCTCGTCCCAGCAGTCATACCCCCATGGTAATGTCCTTCTACCTCCGTCCCAGCAGTCATACCCCCATGGTAATGTCCTTCTACCTCCGTCCCAGCAGTCATACCCCATGGTAATGTCCTTCTACCTCCATCCCAGCAGTCATACCCCCATGGTAATGTCCTGTTCTTCTACCTCCATCCCAGCAGTCATACCCCCATGGTAATGTCCTTCTACCTCCGTCCCAGCAGTCATACCCCCATGGTAATGTCCTTCTACCTCCGTCCCAGCAGTCATACCCCCATGGTAATGCTTCTACCTCCGTCCCAGCAGTCATACCCCCATGGTAATGTCCTTCTACCGTCCCATCAGTCATACCCCCATGGTAATGCTGTTCTACCTCCGTCCCAGCAGTCATACCTCATGGTTCTTCATGCCTGTGTAATCTTTCATCCTACTTTATCAACCCCAACTATGCTCCAATTATACTACCCCTCTCCCCAGAGACCCCATCCTCAGCATTCAGTATATTACCCTCGTCCCGTAGGGGGGCCCCCTCAGGACGTTGTGGGCCACTGCTTTTTTTCCTGCGGTGCTTCTTGCGGTTGGCATGAGGAGAAGGTGGAGGATCTAGTTTTGGGACTTGCTGTGCCCCCCAAATTTGGAGCTGGACTGAGAGAATCACTTGGAGAGACACCTACAAATCCACGACCCAGTGAGAACAGACAATCAATTCACAAGTAAAAGGTACAGGTATCAGCGAGGAGGGCAGAGCTCCATTCTCCAAATCCCAACTTTACCCCCATCATCTCACCTGTTACTGTGTAACCCACCCTCCACAGTCCCCGCTACAGACGTAATGTCCTTCTGACCTCTGGGTCAGACTGACCCCATCACTCTTCCCACTGAACGTCGACAGACTGAGACCACTGACTGAGCGCTCCGAAGACAAAGAGTTGCTGGAGTGTGTGCCCCCTACAGGACAATATCAGACAATGTATTCTTCTACCTGAGCCAGCGGACCAGTGTCTCATCCCCCCCAAAATGAATGTGCAGGAACTTGTGTAAAATGAGGCCAGAAGCATTCTCAGAGTGCACAACATGTAGAAATACAAAGATTCCTCCTTCATAATCACACACAATCGATGAAAAATGGAGCGGAAGACCCATTCCGATGAAACCATTGCTGAAGTATAAAACTGAAAAACACGCTGAAGGGCTAAAAATGTGCCGATCCTGGAACACATCTCCAATCCCACATTCTACCAATGAGAGACAAACACTCCACAACACTGCGTTCATCTTCTGGTTCCTACACACTCCAACCATTGATGACCTCAAATGGAGCCTCCCAAGATGCTCTTTAAGAACCACAACTGAATCACTCCCCCCAGCATGACGACTTTATATGAAAACTGAATCCTCTCACATGATGTTCGAATACCTCAAAATGATGACGGAGCCTCCCAGATTTCATTATGCATGAGTGATGACCCCATACAGAGCCTCCCACATGTTGTGCCAAACCCATTCTCCAATGATGACCTCATACGGAGCCTTCCACATGAAGCGCCAAACCCATTCTCCAATGATGACCTCATACGGAGCCTTCCACATGAAGCGCCAAACCCATTCTCCAATGATGACCTCATACAGAGCCTTCTACATGATGTGCCAAACCCATTCTCCAATGATGACCTCATATGGAGCCTTCCACATGATGTGCCAAACCTATTCTCCAATGATTACCTCATATGGAGCCTTCCACATGATGTGCCAAACCCTTCTCCAATGATTACCTAATATGGAGCCTTCCACTAATGATGCGCCAAACCCATTCTCCAATGATGACCTCATACAAAGCCTTCCACATGATGTGCCAAACCCATTCTCCAATGATGACCTCATACAAAGCCTTCCACATGATGTGCCAAACCCATTCTCCAATGATGACCTCATACAAAGCCTTCCACATGATGTGCCAAACCCATTCTCCAATGATGACCTCATACAAGAGCCTTCCACATGATGTGCCAAACCCATTCTCCAATGATGACCTCATACAGAGCCTTCCACATGATGTGCCAAACCCATTCTCCAATGATGATCTCATACGGAGCCTTCTTGGTGATGTGCCGAACCCATTCTCCAATGAAGACCTAATATAGAGCCTTCCACATGATGTGCCAAACCCATTCTCCAATGATGACCTCATATAGAGCCTCCTACTTGATGTGCCAAACCCATTCTCCAATGATGACCTCAAACGGAGCCTTCCACATGATGTGCCAAACCCATTTTCCAATGATGACCTCATACAGAGCCTTCAACACGATGTGCCGAACCCATTCTCCAATGATGACCTCATACGGAGCCTTCCACATGATGTGCCAAAATCATTCTCCAATTATGACCTCATACGGAGCCTTCTACGTGATGTGCCAAACCCATTCTCCAATGATGACCTCATACAGAGCCTTCCACGATGTGCCAAACCCATTCTCCAATGATGACCTCATACGGAGCCTTCCACATGATGTGCCAAACCCATTCTCCAATGATGACCTCATACAGAGCCTTCCACATGATGTGCCAAACCCATTCTCCAATGATGACCTCATACGGAGCCTTCCACATGATGTGCCAAACCTACTCTCCAATGATGACCTAATATGGAGCCTCCTACATGATGTGCCAAATCCATTCTCCAATTATGACCTCATACGGAGCCTTCTACGTGATGTGCCAAACCCATTCTCCAATGATGACCTCATACAGAACCTTCTACGTGATGTGCCAAACCCATTCTCCAATGATGATCTCATACAGAACCTTCCATACGATGTGCCAAACCATTCTCCGATATATGACCTCTTATAGAGCATTCCACATGATGTGCCAAACCCATTCCCTTCTCCGGAATAATGACATATACGGAGCCTTCCTACGTGATGTGCCAAACCCATTCTCCAATGATGACCTCATATAGAGCCTTCCACAAAATGCCAAACCCATTCTCCAATAATGACCTCATACAGAGCCTTCCACACGATGTGCCAAACCCATTCTCCAATGATGACCTCATACGGAGCCTTCCACACGATGTGCCAAACCCATTCTCCAATGATGACCTCATACAGAGCCTTCCACATGATGTGCCAAACCCATTCTCCAATGATGACCTCATACAGAGCCTTCCACATGATGTGCCAAACCCATTCTCCAATGATGACCTCATACGGAGCCTTCCACATGATGTGCCAAACCCATTCTCCAATGATGACCTCATACAGAGCCTTCCACATGATGTGCCAAACCCATTCTCCAATGATGACCATACGGAACCTTCCACATGATGTGCCAAACCCATTCTCCAATGAGGACCTCATACAGAGCCTCCTACGTGATGTGCCAAACCCATTCTCCAATGATGACCTCATACGGAGCCTTCTATGAGATGTGCCAAACCCATTCTCCAAATGATGACCTCATAGAGAGCCTTCACGTGAGTTGTGCCAAACCCATTCTCCAATGATGACCTCATACAGAGCCTTCCATACGATGTGCCAAACCCATTCTCCAATGATGACCTCTTATACGGAGCCTTCCATACTGATGTGCCAAACCCATTCTCCAATGATGACCTCATACGGAGCCTCCTACGTGATTGTGCCAAACCCATTCTCCAATGAAGACCTAATATAGAGCCTTCCACAAAATATGCCAAACCCATTCTCCAATAATGACCTCATACGGAGCCTTCCACACGATGTGCCAAAATCCATTCTCCAATATATGACCTCATACAGAGCCTTCCATACGATGTGCCAAACCCATTCTCCAATGATGACCTCATACGGAGCCTCTACGTGATGTGCCAAACCCATTCTCCAATGATGACCTCATACGGAGCCTCCACACGATGTGCCAAACCCATTCTCCAATGATGACCTCATACGGAGCCTTCTACGTGATGTGCCAAACCCATTCTCCAATGATGACCTCATACAGAGCCTTACGATACGGAGTGATGTGCCAAACCCATTCTCCAATGATGACCTCATACGGAGCCTTCTACGTGATGTGCCAAACCCATTCTCCAATGATGACCTCATAGGGAGCCTTCCATACGATGTGCCAAACCCATTCTCCAATGATGACCTCATACGGAGCCAAACCCCTTCATACATGAAGTGCCAAACCCATTCTCCAATGATGACCTCATAGGGAGCCTTCTATACGATGTGCCAAACCCATTCTCCAATGATGACCTCATACAGAGCCTTCTATGTGATGTGCCAAACTCATTCCCAATGATGAGCCTACATACAGAGCTTTACACATGAGCCTTGTGCCAAACCCATTCTCCAATGATGACCTCATGACCTCATACGCCTTCTACGTGATGTGCCAAACCCATTCTCCAATGATGACCTCATACGGAGCCTTCTACGTGATGTGCCAAACCCATTCTCCAATGATGACCTCATACAGAGCCTTCTACGTGATGTGCCAAACCCATTCTCCAATACGTGATGACCCAATGATAGGGGAGCCTTCCACGTGATGTGCCAAACCCATTCTCCAATGATGACCTACATACAGAGCCTCTCCATGATGACCTCACGTACGATGTGCCAAACCCATTCTCCAATGATGACTCATTCTCATACAGAGCCTTCACATGATGTGCCAAACCCATTCTCCAATGATGACCTCATATACGTGATGTGCCAAACCCATTCTCCAATGATGACCTCATACAGAGCCTTCCTACGTGATGTGCCAAACCCATTCTCCAATGATGACCTCATATGGAGCCATCCTCCAATGATGACCTCATGATGTTGCCAAACCCATTCTCCAATGATGACCTCATACATGAGTGCCAAAGCCCTCCTACGTGATGATGTGCCAAACCCATTCTCCAATGATGACCTCATACAGAGCCTTCCTACGTGATGTGCCAAACCCATTCTCCAATGATGACCTCATACAGAGCTTTACACATGATGTGCCAAACCCATTCTCCAATGATGACCTCATACAGAGCCTCCTACGTGATGTGCCAAACCCATTCTCCAATGATGACCTCATATGGAGCCTCCTACGTGATGTGCCAAACCCATTCTCCAACGATGACCTCACACGGAGCCATCCATACGATGTGCCAAACCCATTCTCCAACGATGACCTCACACGGAGCCTTCCATACGATGTGCCAAACCCATTCTCCACTGATGACCTCATACGGAGCCTTCCATACGATGTGCCAAACCCATTCTTCAACGATGACCTCATACAGAGCCTCCTACGTGATGTGCCAAACCCATTCTCCAACGATGACCTCATACAGAGCCTCCTACGTGATTTGCCAAACCCATTCTCCAATGATGACCTCATACAGAGCCTCCTACGAGATGTGCCAAACCCATTCTCCAACGATGACCTCATACGGAGCCTCCTACGTGATGTGCCAAACCCATTCTCCAATGATGACCTCATACGGAGCCTCCTACGAGATGTGCCAAACCCATTCTCCAACGATGACCTCATACGGAGCCTCCTACGTGATGTGCTAGCCCACATCATTCCAGATGATCACATATGGAGCCCATGGAGTTGCCCATATTCCTCTGAGGAGCTCAAAAGGAGCCTCCAATCTGCTGTGACAACCGCTTCAACCCGATTTCATATACTGAGCCTCCAGCATGCCGTCCTTGATGACCACATACAGAGCCCACTCTCACATGAAGTGCCAACACCATCCCTCCACCTGATGACACATGATGTTTTTTAACTCCACCCCCACCCGATGATTTCATAACGAGCTTATCACATGATGTGCTGACCACACCCCTACTCCTTACAACTTAATACAGAGCTTCGCTTCACATGCAGTGCCAACCTCACCCTTCACTTCATGACTAGTTAACTCCACCTTCCTTCTAGAGACCTTAGAAAGAGCCTCCCAC